CCGCCGCCGCCGCCGCCGCCTCCTCCTCCTCCACTACCCCCTCCTCCTCCCCCTGGGGCCGCCTCCCGCCCCGACGCCGCAGCCTCGCGCGCTGATTGGTCGGAGCCCACATCCGTCACTGCCGAGTGGCGGCCTCTCCGTCTCCCGCCCCTGGCCCCGCCCCCTTGCTCTGTTTTCTCCCAGCTGCCAGTCCAGCGAGCCCGCTGCCTCCGCCGCCCAGCCCCTGCTCAGGTGTCACTGTGGTTGGCAGGCCGGGATTAGCGAAAGCGGGGCCGGGAGTGGGGGAGGGAGGGGGTCGCCGCTAGGAGGAGAGGGGCTGTACCGTCCCACCCCTCCCCCCGACCCCCTGCACCCCCCGCGCCTCTTTGGCAGCCGCGCCTGGGTGGCTGGGTTAAACCGCAGTGTGAGTAGCTGGGAGCGAATGGTGTCCCCGGGTGTGAGCGTGTGGCCCGCGAGAGGGCAAGACGACAGGAGGCGGGAGGGGGGACGGGGGGGGGCAGGGAGGGGAGGCGGCCCGGGGAGGGCGGGGGAAGGCCGAGCGCGGGGAGCGCGGGGAGCGCGGGGCCCGCGGCGCAGCTGCTGTCGCGGCCGCAGCTGTCCAGGGACAATCGCCAAAACGGCGACGGATAAACAACTTACCTTGGGGAGCCCGGCCCCGCCCGCGATGGGTGGGTGGCGGCTATCGTTGGGGTGACGTGCTTGCTCCCCACGCGCGCCTGTGCACCTTCACGGGAGGGGTGCCCTGTTGAAAGTCTGGGGACCCTGGACACATGGCAACGTGTCTGCCATGCGCGGCGGCGGGACGCGGTGCGGGGCTGGAGAGCGGGCTGTCCCGGGAGACTGGACACTGGAGACACTTTTGCGTCTTGAAACCATCGCTCAGTCTCCTGGGACAGCCCTGTGGATCTCCTGGAGATCAGAGGGGACGGGAGGAACGAGGGAGAGGTCACTTTTATGCACACACACACGCACACGCAAGCACGCATGCAGCCACTGGGTAAGACAGGTGACACCACACCTTTTCTTCCCTACAAAGGCCATGGAGCCCGGGGCGGATGCCCACTTTGTGGCCCCCTCGTTAGCCTAGAGAGGGAGGGAGCAGCTGGAGGCCCATCTCTAAACTTAACAATTGTGCCCTTCTGGTTAGCCTGCTGGTGCACAGATCTGAAGAACAGATCTCCCTCTACCAGAACATCACCTGGGCACAGCCCCTTTCTCTCTTCCCTCCCTTGGCCCCTGGGACCAACCAGGCTAGAACTTCTTTGGAAATTATAGAGAAGGTTGAACAAATTTCTCACCCTAGTCTTTCCTGTTTTATTTCCAAATGCCTTCAGTATCAGATTTTTCCCCCTATTTCCTGATTTGGACTATGGGCCCCATAAAAGACCTAATAAAAAGGTTTAGGAAACTAGGAGATAGAGCCAGGAGAAGTGTTTTGGCGACCAGGATTAGATTAAGCTCAAACAATGTTGTAATAACAGACTGATGGCGCTGGTGCATGAGGAGTAGTCGTGAGCCTCTATTAACCCCTGAACCAAAGGAAAAGATGGGGGCCTTCCCACCAACCCAGGGAGGTAACTCCACCGCTTGCCACCCACACTAGTATTATGTAGCAATTAAGGAGACAATTTGTTCAATAAATGTGTATTGTGCCTCCCTTTTAAAAAATGTATATGAGAATGATCCTTGTAAAGGCTGGAGCCCAGTAGAACTTTCAATTCTGAGCTTTTGATGGGTCACTGTAATCCCCTCAGAAAGGGGTTGCTACAAGCAGCCTATTAGGCCAGAGCAGAGCTTAGTTGCCAAGCAGATTTAGGAAGTTGGCTCCAAGCCAGATGGCACACACAGAGGGAGGAATGCCAAGACCTGTGGGTAAGGAGGACCTGCTTCAGGAAAGACCAGGGATGCTCACTTCCAAGGCCAACATGCTCTTTGCCCACATGTTGCAGATGCAATCCCCCCTGTTAATTGGACACTGTTGTTTTTCTGTTTGTTTTTTTAAAAAAACAGTTACAGAAAAACACATCATCACACATACACTGGAACCAAGATCAGATGTCTTTAAATGTCAACAACACAGGGAAGTTTTATGAGAGCGATAGGAAATAAAGACATACCGTTCTGGCACACCCTTCAGTACACTACAAGTCCAGAACACCTCCTAGCTGAGGTATGTTGGAATAAAAGTTATGAATCACAATCAATTTACAACACATCATATTATTGCCAGGTATTTTTATTGTGTGTGTATGGTGCCATAGCTCTTACAACATAGATAACTTCCTAAATAGAATTGGACCCCACTCAACGGACAATTATACAGCAGCATACTAAACAGGAACTACTAATCTACACACCTGGCCTACTGAGCTATACAGCCAAATCATCTTCTTATTCAGGTATTCCTTCAGATGTCCAAATATCTGTGACTGCCTTTCGTGCTCATTTTCCCTTTAGTCTACCCAATCCGTTCTTGATATATTGCCACAGTATAAGGAGTTAACGTGTGTGTGTGTGTGTGTGTGCGCGCGTGTGTGCCAGTATTGGGGTTGAACTCAAGGCCTTGAGCTCTGACTTCCATTTTTCTACTTATGGCTGGCTGTCTACTTGTTGAACCACAGTCCACTTCTACATTTTTTTTCGGGTTAATTGGTGTTAAGAATCTCATGGACTGTTTTACCTGAGCTAGATTGAAACAGCAATCCTCAGATCCTCAGTAGCTAGGATCACAGGCGTGAACTAGCAGCAATGAGCAGGAATTTACATCTTCCATGAATTATTTCAGTTTTCTAGGAGTTGGCTTGGGAAATGTCTTCTGCGTATGAAGATTACTGGTTGACAAAAGACAACATTTTGTCTACTAAAATATTGCATTTCCCTTTCCTTTGTGTAATTCTCTATGGAAAGCATCTACCTAGGAAGTTCATTCCCAGCCTTATTTTGTAAGCTCAAAAAGTTAAATCCCTTTGTAAAATCTAGAACTCTTGCTTAACTGTTACATAAGAGAACAACTGGAAGACTAAAAATATTCTTATCTTTTTAAATACATGAGCATCAAATCTTAATTTTCAGTAAATGAATTATTCATTTACCAGTTGTGTTTTGAACACCTGTTCTGTGTTAGATTAATGAATAAATGTAGGAAATAAACAATTCTACAATTTAGTCCCTTCATTTAATGATCTCAAAGACTTGTTTTATAAGTATCATGCACATATTATCTTGGCAGACATTCAAGTGCCTTGCTATTGGAAAACACAAACTAGCTCAGGGAAGGCAACTACGGGGAATACTGTGAATTTGAAATCATGTGCATTTAGATTAAATCATGTGCACAAATTACATGAATTGGGGCAAATCATAGTAAATGAAAATCGTGTCAGTTTGCCAAAAAGTGCCATATAAAAAATAAATGTATATCCTCTTTTCATTTTTTAATCTCTTTTTTTGAAATTTTGGATCTTTGTGTTTTGGGGGGGTGAGTTTACTATCACCACTTGGACATTAAGAGTTGAATAATGATTTCTGATTATGTCTCCTCTGAGGCATACATATTGCTGTGAGTAGTTGCTAGTAGAAAGCAGTGTGCTAATAAAGGCTTTGTTAAATGGCAACTCCTTTGTACAACTACTTAAAGATAATTCTAACAACAACACCACTTGTAATAATAACAAAGCAATGTGCTAGACCTGCACTTGAGTTGTTGGAATATATTGCTGAAAAACCTACAAAATACAAAGTCAAGCTGGGTACCAGTGGCTCACACCTATAATCATAGCTACAGGAGAGGTCAGAAGAAACCCAGGAGGTCAGAAGATAGCCCCGGTCAAAATGGCTGAAAAGATTCCATATTCCCAAATAACAATAGCAACCACAAAATCCTGACTAGACATGTAGCTCAAGATGTAGTGTGCCAGTAGAATAAGCAATCAAGCAACGGTGAGGTCCTGAGTTCAAACACTGGGACTGCCAAAAAAAAAAAGACAGTGAATCCTAGTAAACCATGAATGTGTGAGGGATTTATTACCTTAAAGCTGCTTTCTGTGCATTTCCCTTTATTAATGTCAAGTTCTGCCTTCTCTAAAGAAGTTTTATGAAATAACACAACTCTACATGGATTTTATTTGAGGCTCAAACCACAAGAGCTTTGTATCATTTATCTTTTGCTTGCTCTTGAAATTTTGCTGACCATTGTTTATTTCAGAATGCACTTTAACTCATTTAAACATGTTTTATTCTCTAAGAAATATTAAAATTTTTATACAAAGTAAAAACAATTTTTGTGTCAAGTTTATTCCAAAATAAATTTTTCC